GTCACCCAGGCCTCCATGGCGTTGCCAAGACCAACCTTATGCTCTAAAGCATTGCCTCCTGCTCCAAGCCAGTAGCCAACACCAGCGCCCAGCCTGGCGCCTGCTCCTACAAGGCGTCGCCCAGCAGCCTGCTGGAGCTGCCCATCAAGCTGGCGTCGCCTAGCAACACTGCCTGACTTGTTAGCGTCGCCCAGTGCCACGGCTAGGACTCCTAAGCCACCTCTACCTTCACCTGTGCTCCAGCCCACTCCAACGCCCGGTGTGCCATTTAACTCGTCATCAGCACTTGAGGCGTAGCCTGCAAAGCCTCATCCTTCTTCAGTGTCGCCATTTAGCCCCCTGGTGGTGTCGGCATCCCTCACAACATCTTTTGGAGCCTCTCCTATAGCGACTAGCTCCAACCTCACCAAGGCGTTGCCTAATGACACCCGACTAATACTGCCAAATTGATGCAAGGCGCTGCCCAGTGACTTGGTCTACATAAGGGCGTCATCGTCCTTTGTTGGAGAGCCCGAATCATCACCAACTCCCTGTATCCCACTACCCAATCGGAGCAAGGTGTCGCCTGGTGCGTTGGCACCGCCCAGCTTCTCACTGGCGTTGCCCAATGCCTAGGATAACCTACTAGCATCGCCAAAGTTGCTGATCTATTGTTTCTCTGCGTCACAAACCCGATTGGAATCATCGCAGAGGCCTTGGGTCTTGCTTTTTCTTCCCATTGATGTATTTTCTCCTTCACGAGTGGAGCTTGTCTTCGATTATTTCCCAGCAACTCTCAAAAAGAAGGGATTATATTGGTTTAGGGTATTGGGACTTTCAAGACCCTACAAGATGGTGCCATAAATAGAGGAAATGGGGTTTTTTTGTGGAACAATGTTACATGGACTTAAAAAAATAGGCTTAAAACTTAGATTTAATAATCTCAACTATTGATTTTATTATGGGTTCCAACATTTATTGAGACTCACTACCTATTCAATGATTGAGATTATCAAGTCTAATTTTTAAGTGTACTTTTTAAATTCATTTAACATTATTCCTTTTTGTGAGAAGAGGTAAAATTTCTCCTAACTTGAAGACAGTGTTGCAATAAAACTGAGAGATGAAGAAGTTAGTTTCCAAGGTAAAGTTACCGTGCAAAACAAGAAGCCCTGTGCCTATCTACTTAAAGGAGCTCACTCATGTCCTCAAATTCCTTAACACAACAAGAACTTGGGCATGGAGGGCAAATGACAAGCCCAGATCTGTTGGGCCCAGCCCAATAAACCAAGTAAGTCTGGATCAGCTAAAAGACGGGTCAAGCTCAGTTAATCAATTCGACGCAACCCAAGGTCCAAAGAGTCCATGAAAAAAAGAGCATGTGGGGGAGAGATCATCGGGATACACATTGTCGAAGTTCAAAACTACCTTAATTGTACTTACCTTTTGTAGCTATCCTTTTGAGAAATTAGTGTCTTTACTCTCACATCCCCGCCTCAATAAAGAATCAATGCCTATAAATTATAAGTCATCTCTACATGAGATGACACATTGAACTCTACCTATCTACACATCTCTACACACCCCTCACATAATTTTTCTCTCTCCTAGCTATTATACCTCTCCCAGAGCTTTCTCTCTCTCATTTTATTAATTAATAAAGGTTCTCCGGTCATCGTTACCGTTTCCCAGAATGGAGTAAGTCACTCGGATCGAACTACTATATATTTGCGTATTGACTCAATATTTACATTACTTTCATTGATTGTTTTATTAATTGTCTATTAATTACACTATATCACACACTTGACTGTTGATCTTGAATAAGACTATTTTGTCCATCATCAATCAAACCACTTTCATTCTTAAAATTAATTAAGAGGACAAAAATTCTTTGCATACAAAATTAACATCAAAACTCCAAAAAAAAAAAAAAAACTCTGCTAACATAAATTTTATGGTAGGATTCGAAAAAAGCTCACATTTTTCTCATTTTCTTATCACATTAGGGTACTTTTTCTTAAAACTTGAGACCATATTGTCAAATTATTTAATAAAATAAGAAAGGTTAAAAAAATTATATCGATAATATTTGTCGATTAATTCCATTTTAATGTCGTTATCGATTCATACCCAACAACTAAAATAAATCCCTAACTTAATCATTTTAAATCTAATATAAATTAATAGAATATGATTTTAGTCAGAATTAGCTTAAATTCATATTGATTTACAATCTGTAATATTTTATTAATTGATTCTCTGAATACAAAAGAATGAAAGAGTTTTGATTACTAAAAGGTAAGGATAAAATTAGAATATAATGGAATTATGACTTAATTGAAATAAAATATTAAAAATAAAATTTTATTAATATAAAAAAATGATAGGATTTAATGAATATTTGTAAGAGAAAATAAAACTTATTAGCAATTTTTCCTACATATTTTGACCAGAAAGAAATTTTAAAAGGAATTTTATGTATATTTCCTATTTTTCATTTTTTTGTCACGTCATCTAGACATCTATAGAGGTTATGATNATTAATGAATATTTGTAAGAGAAAATAAAACTTATTAGCAATTTTTCCTACATATTTTGACAAGAAAAAAATTTTAAAAGGAATTTTATGTATATTTCCTATTTTTCATTTTTTTGTCACGTCATCTAGACATCTATAGAGGTTATGATAATTACGAGAAATAAGTGAACATGCCTTGGAAGTACCCAAATCATTGCAAAGTCGGCCAATGAGATATGACCAAGTGAACATGCCTTGTGTCGTTGGGCTCAAATTTTATTGGAATATTTTGTCTCATCACGTCACTAAAATTTAATACTCAGTCTTAATAAATGCATATAATTACTCACAAAAACACACAATGAACAAAATATGAGTAAACGCACAAACTCATAGCAAACACACAATCATTACATGCCAAATGACCAAATTTTTTACTTCTCAACAAACCTAAAAGAAATCGGCTCGGGATCTGTTTACAAAATGTGTCCAAACTCCCTTAGTTGCATTGCAGACTCTAACATGCTTATAAACAACATACAAAGTGGCGGTTGCAAGTCCAATGCAAGACACTAGTTAGGTTTGCTCACAAAGTTTCTCACAACCTGTTGATTATGGTTGAATCCTTTTGCCACTCTCAAAAAGTGTTGATCATGGTAGGGAACAGTTGCAACNCTGTTGATTATGGTTGAATCCTTTTGCCACTTTCAAAAAGTGTTGATCATGGCAGGGAACAGTTACAATCGTTGGCTGATCTAGCCATCAACTGTCCATAACCACTCTGCATGCTATATGCACATGTCTGCAACATCCCTCATGCTATGCACATGCCAACAATTGCACAAAACCATGTTATATGTCATGCACATGCGAGCAACTTTTTGGAATCACTAACATCTGCAGTACACATGTCTCAACTATTCGAAACCATCTCACATGTTGTGCACATGACTTTCTTGCTAGCCCACAACAACTTATTAGCCTTAGTCAAAAAATTATCCAAATTACATAGTTGTGATCATGAATTATCCATATTTTGGTCAAAAACTACTATATTACACATTTTTGGTCAAGAGTTATCCAAATTTTAGTTAAGAGTTATCCAAAAAAAATTTTTGCACATATTTAGATATCACGTGACATGTTTATGATAAAAAAATGATTAGTAATTTGAATGGCGTCTACTTGGAATCTATTACCAATCTACCCCATTTATCAAACTTATTTACCAATCTACTCTCGTTTTCAACTTATTTACCAAATTACCGCTGTTTTAAAAGCGAATTGGACAAATCTGACTTCATGGGGAAAACAGATTTGAAAATTCCGACTTCATTTGGAAAACGGATTTGACAAATTTGAGTTTATAGGAAAAGCGGATTTGACAAATCCGACTTTATAGAGAAAGTGAACATACCAAATCTGACTTCATTTAGAAAACAGACATACCAAATCCGTTTTTTAATATTTTATCTAATTTTCTTACTGGGAAACCACCCGAAATTCTTGATTTTATATATTTTCTCCCTAAAAAATAAATCACTCATTTTTATCATATATTTAATTATTTAATATTTGATTAATTTGTAATTAATATATTTTTAAAAAATTTAATATAGTGGGATTTACTTTTTGGATGATCGAATTTTATATTTTATCGTGTCTTCAGGCACGAGTTATAACTAATAAATTTAGATAGAATCTATTAGTGGATTTTTAACTACTAATAAAGGTGAGTAATTTATTCACAAAGAAATATATAATCAGAGAGACCAAACGTATTCAATAAATAGTCAAATACTCTTTTGGCGATCAACACAATTATACATATAAAGACTTGCACCTTAGAATGTCTGCTTTCCATATTAAGACGAATTTTGTATGTCTGTTTTCCATATAAAGACGGATTTGGTATGTCCGCTTTCCCTATGAAGTCGGATTTACCAAATCCGCTTTTCAAATTAAGTTGGATTTGCCAAATTCACTTTCCAAATGAAGTTGGATTTGCCAAATTCGCTTTCCCCATGAAGTTAGATTTGCCAAATCCGCCTTTAAAACAGTGGTAGTTTGGTAAATGAGTTGAAAACGACAATAGATCGGTAAATAAGTTTGATAAATGAGGTATATTGGTAATAGATTCTGTCTACTTGAGGGACCACGTATAAACATATTCAATTATTCATGACCAAAATAATGCAATTGAAATATTAAAAATCAAAATGAGATAAATTTGATACTTTGGGAACCTGCCATGTAATTAATCTACATATATATAGAAAAAAAAACATAGTATGAACTATGAACTAAATAATTCATTGATAGATTCGGCAAGTACATAGTGCCAGAAGAAAGAAAGGATGCAGAGTGCCATACCCTATGCGAAAGGCTTCACTTATAGGGGCACCTTAGAAATATAAATAGTAGACAACCTTAACACCTTTTTGGAAAGACCGATTCTCAGAACGAAGCTATTGACTAAATGCTGGAGAAAGAAACCAAGTCAACCCAAGCTTGAACCAGCCGAGTCCATCATGCTAGGGTCGAGTTGCTCAATCGGAATGGGTGTGACAATTAGTGAGGTTAAGGTATCTTTTGTCTCTGCAGTTGATGTCCCAATACCATCTCCATTTTGGAAGATACACTGAGCAGTCCTTGCCATGTTTAATGACATCCTTACAAGGGATTGAGGATGCGATTTTCTTGCAATTGTCTCATTAAGATTACTCCATGAGGAGATTATCAGACTCTTCATGTGATGGTATGCTTGTTCTTCTGACACTTGCTCTTCGATCATGTAACATTGGATGGACTTTGGCACATCTCCTCTTGCAAGCTCAGCCTTGAAGATTGCACACACAAAAAAAAAAGGTAAGGTTCTATAAGATCAATTCAACATATAGAGTATTTCAAAAGTTAAAAATTAGATACGTGAAATCAAATATCTCGTCTGTCAACGAAAAAAAAGTAAGAGTTTACATCAGCACGGATTGACTCTACTTACCAATTAATGACCGAAGCCATCAATCAATAGAGGGAAGAGAATGACACATGTTTTCAAGACAGAAGAAAATTTTATGAGAGATAGTAAGTACTAATCCATATTTTTAAAGAAGGTCATTAGGTCTCAAAATTCAGCTTAATAGTGGAATTGAATTTTATAGATGTATAGAATTTCAAAGTGTTAGTTTATACATGATCCACTCCTCCATGCCTTCACTAATAGGGACTAAATATGATGTCATGTTTATTCACGCATTTTAGTGCAGTCGTAAGGTTGTGCCGTTATGATATGTGTATCACGGGTTGGAGACTTTGAAATAGATTTTGCACATGAAAAGATAAGGTAGTGTACTTCTAACATTCCCTAACATTAAAGGCTCAAGCACTGAGTTGCCCTTTTACTTCTATTCACATATAGATTAGATAGGTCACATGCATTATGCAAATTAAGTGAAAATACCTTGGAAGTGCCCAAATCATTGCAAATTCGGGTAATGAGAGATGACCAATAAATTGTCTCTGAGCCAAGCTTGAAGCAGCTGAGAGAATTTTCTGCTACAGGGAACCCTAGCAACACGTAAGCATGGAATATGGCTATCGGACCACCTATGGACGTGCAAGCATTTCTAAAATATTCTTCCAGTGTTGGTGTATGACCACCGTAAAACCATCGTGCTTCAAGCAAATATGAACAACAAAGATTTGTCCACTACAACAAAAAAATTAGCTTTTGTTAGCCAAAATTATTGCTCTTGCATTTAGAGATTAATGCATAGAAATATTATTGTTTTGCAACTTAGATGCATTATTATAGATTGTGAAAATTGTAAACTATACTCTTATCGCTTAAATAATAATCCTAGTTTTTTTTTGTTGTTTTTTCAATTTCACATTTTCTCACATTCCACTTTCATCTATTTGAGCTGATTTTAGATTACAATAACTCCAAATGTCTATTAGAATTTTGAGGTTCTACAAATTCCATGCTTAATTATGTGAAAGAAAATGTTCATTTTTTTCTTTGTAGAAGTCAACCAAATAAACAAACTCTCTTGTACCCTTGATAGAACAATAGAATGACAATTATAACCTCACAACCAGCAATCCATGGTGGGATTTGAGGTAGGAATGGTAATGGACCAAAAAAAACGGATGTTCGTCCAAACCCGTCTCGTTTGGATCGGGGAAAGATCATACGTATTGGACGATAGACATACACACATATAAAATTCTGCGAGAATGGAAGCAGGGATAGATTGAAACTCGCCTCCATCCAGTCCCACTAAACTCATGATATCACAAAAATACAAATCTCACCCACCCTCCCACTCACTTATTACTACATGAGTAATGTTATTTGGATCTAAAAATCTGATATAATTTGTTGACTTGATGATGCGGTGGCATTGAAACCATTGGATTAACACTAAGATCCAATGTTTGATGGAGCCCATAATTAATTTAAAGGTCATAGTGAATTAAGTCAACAAATTAGGTTTCAATAACATTGCTCTTAATACATATATACAATATCACAAACCTTACCCACTCACACTATTCTCTTTACCAAAAAAGAAAACTTTACTTTCTCTTTTTTGTTTTTTTGGATCTATTTGTTATAAAATAGAGTTTTATTCTTCTTGCAGAATCATTTGTGAGGTTTTATTATTTTTTAAAATTTTTTTCTTAAAACCATAGAAATTAATTATTATGGACGGGGACGGTGGTGAGGACGGGGACGAGAATGAGGATGAGGATCAATATTTACCCGTGGGGCGCAGATGAGAATTAAAATTTCCTCTGCTAACGGGGGTAGACCGAAGTTAGACAAATATTTTTTAAGTGTGTACCGAGGTGCAGACTACTCCCCTGTCCCTGTCCCTGCCCTTGCCCTTGCCTCTGCCTGGTCCACTGCCATCCCTAAGTCGAGGTGGTGGGCCTGAGGATTAGTGGATGTAGTGGATTTGGTGTCTAGTGGCCGTGGGAATTTGGAGGGGTGATGCGTGAGCTTGTGTGTATGTGTGTGAGAGAGAGAGAGTGAAGGGTATTTGTGTAATTTTGGAAGTGATTGTCACATTTACCTTTACTTGTGTATAGTTTTCTCCATAGACATTTGATATCGAGGGAATGATATTGTGAAATCAAATCAAATATTTAATGGTGCAAAGTGTAATATATGAAAATAAAACAAAAATGTTTTCAAACTTATTTCTTACCTCTTCTTTAATGTAGGGAAGAACATTCAGACCATTATCTTTCAGAACATCATCGGCAACTTTATTTCCGGAATTGAACATGGCCAAGTAACATAGCTTCATGTACTCAGGAAGGTCCTCCATGGCCTCGATGCTCCATCTGATAGAACAAACACAATAAACCATCACGTTCAATGCCTGTGATCCAAAGTTTTATTTCAACTCTACATTGTTATGTTCACATATCATACCGATTTACTGCATTAGTGAAGCATTCAAGCTCATCTAATGATCCATAAATGTCATACATGTCGTCGATTGCTCTAAATATGCAAACCATCTTGGTAAGGCCTTTCCTGCTTTTGGAGAATTAGGGCTCATAAATTATTCTCATTGCCCACAAATAATTTTCCATCAAGCGATCCCGAGAAAAGCTCAAGTTTTCTTTAAATCCCGAGTCTCTCCACCACCAAAACCGCAAAATTCCATATTTATCGTTATTGTTAATTCATCCTTAATCAAGATATGATTTTTTTCTAGGAAAAACTTACATTGCAAGTTCCGTTAGTTCTTGCTGATGTATGGACTGCACTAGATTATAATCCAATTTGGCCAATTTGCTCAGAATTAAGCTTTTTTCATCGTCCACTACAAAGAGATCGATGAATTTCCAGGCTTCCAACCTTGGCATTCTCCAGTATAGTGGTGTTTGCAAGGATTGCTTGACCTGCTCAGCTAAATTATTGTCCAACTTACCAGCCAATGACACTAGATGTTTAATACTGAAGTTCTTTGCTTCTTTTAAGCCATCGTCACTGTTCATTCCAAGGTGTGAAGCTTCATACAAACTCAAAAGACCTGTTGCATTCTTGCTTAAGCTGTCCATGAATCTTTCATTCCTATCTTTGAATTTGTTCAACAGATCTGTAATTTAGTAATGGAAAACACATTTAATTACTATTTTATGAACACGACCAACATGCATCTTGTTGTACTAATAATGTTATCTATATATGTATATATATATATATAAGCAATTAAGGTCAAATAAAGGGAATAAACCGAGAAAGAAAAAAACAAAATTCTAAAACAACCGATAACAAAAGAACTTTTAAAAACGCTATTAAGCTACAGCTGAATTATTTTTTCGTGATTTGTAATATAAACTATTTTATTACCTGAACTAACTGAATGACCATGTTCTCTTAGAAGTCGAAATTGCAGTGAAGTAGTGTATAAATCACCCATCACAGCCTCATGAACATGATCTATGCTATCTCGGATCTCTTCCTCAAAATGGTAGGCCACTCCTAGTCGCTGTATTGAATCAGTAAGCTTCATTTGAGCTGAAGGTTCTCTTCAGATTTAAGTAACCTTGTTGCTTCTTTCTTCAACTCCTCCAACGTGTGGCCATGTAACTCATACTACATGTAAGATCAGCCAAATTTAGCTACCACCATAATGAGTTAATTATAAAAATGATTTAAAAAAATGATGTAATACCCTAACTCTAGTTTACCCTAAAAAATAAACAAAATACCCTTCGTCTCCCCAACATTGATAAAATGATATTATAGTTAACTATCTATTTATTTGGCCTCTAAAGTGTACTATTTATGACAATCAAGTCCTTGAATTATGATTTGTGTCAATTTAATCCATGAATTATAACATTTGTGTCGATATGGTCCTTCATTCCAAATTCGTCGTTAAATTTGATGGACTTCCTCACGTGACTCCTAAACTCTACCCTAGTTTCTGACTCATGTGATCTGCACATGAGAAATTCTGTCCAAGTTAACTGTGAATTTGGACGGAAGGGTCATATTGACATAAATAGTATAGGTCAGGGGCTAAATTAAAACAAAAATATAATTCAAGGATTTGATTGACACATTTAATGGCCAAATAGATATTAATACTGGTCACTTCCCACCTCTTTATTTATTTATTTATTTTTCCTATATGCTTTGTTAGTTTTGGGCAAAGCTAGTCTCATGATTAGTTCTGCCCAAAACCACTGCGAGAATGAAGGCAAACCCCAGCAACTCTATATAAGAAAAATATCAGAAAATTGACAAAAACTTTTTTTTTAAAAAGTGGGACTTAACTGTATAGGGTGTGCTAAATGACTCGATGTGCTTGGGATCCCAAATGATAGGATGATAGTTAGCTGATCGCCGTTGATTTGCATGAACCTCAATTGTTTTCGAATTGATGCATATAACATTGATGGGCCTCCTTTGCTTGATTCTGATCTGTTGCTTTGTTAAAGTGGGCATTCCTCCAAATTATAATGTTATACTGGTGTATTTTGGAACAATATGGCCCACCTTCATAAGTAAACAAATGGTCTCTAGTCCCCTTGGATTTGTTAGATGATCTGCAATAAAACTTAGTGCAGCAAGGGACCTGCTTCTCTTTTTCCAGCACATTTCTTGAGTTGATACCATGGCATCTACAACAGTGATTCTGCATGTGGATAATGTTTTTGAGCATTTTAGTCGTGCTATCTCGGTACGATTTCCGTTATGACACGTTAATGTGATTCAAATTAATAATTTTGACTATGGTTACATTAACGTGACTCTAATTCAACACAATGCTATCGAGTTTGAATTAGAGATGTTAATACCGAGTGATTTACTGTGTTGTGTGCTAAATATCAAGATTCGATTAGATTTTTTGGAGAAATTTTACAATTGGATTTCACCCTTTAAACCATAGTCAAACATGGAAATCAAATCAAACACTAATGGAAGATGACATTGCCACAATCTTTGCAATGTGTGGAAAGTGATGAGGAAGCTGATGGAGAGGGATAAACAAGTTTCATTGTGAGTTTTAAAATCTCATAAACAAGTTCTTTGTTTTGGGTCAGACATAAACAAGTTAATAATGATACGTATATCACCTTTGTGCACTATCTCATCTATACCACTTAATGTGGCATGATCTCAATTATCAAATATTCAATGAATTCAATGGGACCCATTAACTTAGTGATTCATATTGAAATGATGCAAAAAAAAATGGTAATATTTATCAAATTATAATGTTTTGAGAATTTAAGTTACAATTTAAAAAATTATGATTGATCATAAATAATATAACTTTTAAATATCAAATTATATATTTTAAAGATAAAATTACAATTAATTGAGATTGTTCACGATCAATCCCAATATTTAATGATCAATCACAACGTTAATCTTAGATCATGAAATATTGTATCAATTATTAAACAATTGTAAATTATTTTTTCAAGATGTAATTCGACCATTTCTAATTATATCCACTAAAGTAATGTTTTTTATTTTATTGGAAATAATGCTGTCATATCTAAGTCTAATGACACGATGTGGACATAAAAAGCACCTTTGTATTATTTTGGTCTTACTAGGTTTGAATGATGGCATTATCTTAGACTTAGTGTGTTTGATACATAGTTTTGTAATTATACAAGAGACAAATCCGATTATATATAACTCATACATACCACGAACTTGGTAAGTTATGAATCCGATTGTAGAAATTATAAATATATTTTATATGCATTGACCCGATTTTGATATGATACGTGGCATAATATAAATTCAAAACTATATGATACATTATTGGTCCAAGTGATATCAAATGCAATATTGGTAGTGTTAATGATTTCCAATGGAAAAATATGATAAGAATATTATATGCAAGACTTTTAGAAGTTTGTCACTAAATCACATGAATCCCCTCACGTATTAAAATTAATGTGCCCCGTGCAAAGCACACTTTTTCTTTTTTAATGTATATGTTGAGTCACTTTGGTGAAAAGTAAAATTTAAATGAGTTATAGTGATTAGAAGGTTAAAAAGTTAAAATTTAAATAAATTATTGTAGTTAAAAAGATTTTTTTTTTTTTGGGGTCAAAGTGGTTAAAAAATTAAAATTTAAGTTACTATGATTAAAAAAATAAAATTTAAATGAGTTATTGTGGTTACATTGATAAAAGATTAATATTAAAAAAGTTAGTATGATTAAAATGTTAAAATATTATATCGTAATGTAAATCGTCAGATCTAAACGATTTGGATCGCCGTTTTATTTTTTTAAGTGAGAAATTTAAATAGTTCAAGTAGAAAACTCTGTTTTATTATTATGGATAACATTGCTATCCGTCTCACGATCAATCATTGACGAAGCATGAAGGAATAGCAATGTTATTTTCTTCCATACTTGAGGAAAGTTAACTTAATGATAATATTATAATGGTGAGTTCACTGATTGGACCCTCCTTTGGTTTCATTTATCTAATTCATATATCAAATGTGAAACTTATGCTTTCATGTATTTTGGATCTATTCATATTCACCTTTTAAAAATTATTACTTCTATTACTTTTTTAATTGTAACTTTTATCTTGGAGTGTAGCCTTTCTCGTTTATTGGATCTGCAATAAAACTTAGGAGTTGTTTGGTAAGGGGTACAGAGGAATTGACAAAATAAGTTTGGAAAAAATAGTTCAAAAACTCTCAAATTCTATGTTTGGATTAAAAATAGTCCAATTGATATCTCATTCACTTTGATAAAAAGTTATTTACTTTTATATCGACAACAAAGATGAAACGTTAGATAAAATATCATGTTTAATAAAAAAATAAAAATAAAAATGATGAAAAAAATGGATGTATTAGCCATTCTTTCAACTCACCAAAATCTAACATTTCAAAATTATGAGAAAAATTGGATAGAAAATTAATTATGTATATCAAAATGTATATTATTTACTTTTATATCCTTTAATATATACATATATCCTATTTATCTAGTACCCCGTACATAAACATTAATTTCATATATAGATGCAATGATAAAATATATATTTATATTTTTTCCATTGTAACAAATACAAAAAAATCAATCATTACTCACTTAAAAGATACAAAATATATCGCTCAAACTTCTCATTTTCCATTCACCATCAAACGAATGTAAAACACCATCAAACACATGTAAAACACCGTCACTTTTTCAATCGCCGACACTCTGTGGCATTTGACCCAATATAGAATTCTTTATTGCCACAAATTATGTAAGATTCAAAATGTGTATCACATTGTTCTATTATGTAAACTTTTGGTCAAAAATCAAACAAAATTAGGTAAATATAAAGCTATTATAAGTCAATTGATGGCAGACGTTAACACAACGATATAACTATTGAATTATGAAACTGTATTACATGTACTACAAGTTTTTTTGATCAGTTACAAGTTAATACATATAANACTGTATTACATGTACTACAAGTTTTTTTGACCAGTTACAAGTTAATACATATATATTTTCGTCAACTTTTGGATGAAAGTTTACGATTCAACAAAATTAAATCTTCATCATAAACTATAAGGTTGCAAAATATATTTAACCCTTTGAAACATAATCAAACATGAAATCTCCCAGACCACATGTTAATTCAATGAACAAAAGAAACCAATGGAGCAAGTCATTGATAAAATCTTCTCTAATGTAAGAACAAATGGAATCCCACAAAACCCCCCCGAGAGATCTCCCAGAGCACATGTTAACTAACAAATCGATCTCACTTTTTCATACTTTATGATGCAGCATGCATAATAGAAGAGTACATAAAATATTAAGATTGTCAAAAATAGGACCGAACAGGTGTCAATTAGGACTGATTTCTGAGCTATAGTGTCAGAACATTTCAGAATGCTCCATTTTGAAAAGTTTTCAACAATCTGAGCAAGATTGAATAGTGTATCTTTCATCTCGCCGTATTTAAGCTAAAAAAATGATGTTTGTAGCGCTTTTTAGGCGCTTTTTTATTTTATTCTACTGATTGGGGTATTTTCATAATATTACTTATTTGCTTAGATTTTCTAGTAATTTAGTACCATTAAGATTTCGTATTTATATTGTGTTGAGAAACTGAGTAGCTTTAGATTGTTTAAAATAAGCTAAGAGATGAATTTTTTTTTCTTCAATTAACTTGTTATTCTTCATAAATCAACAAGACTCTTGATGACTTTAATCTAGTATTATTGTGATAATCAATAGATTGAAATTTCTGTTATTTAATCTTATTTCTTAGTCACGGTATCCTTCATCACTTCATTGACTTCGTTCCCTCCTAACAACCATTGTCAACTACTTCGATTGGGATAAGTTTTCTAGATGCCTCTCCCCTCATTTGCTTTTAATGGAAAGGTTGGTCATATGTCGCTTACTAACTTCCTTTCCATTATTGACAGTGTTGTTCACACCAATTACGAACCCAAAAGAATCAATGTTCGCACACCACTTGCTACTTGAGTTCTATTAAAAGAATGTTCACA